TTTCAACGTTTCATTTTGGTATTAGTCTTGTTCGAATCACAATCTAACAGACTATTTAGAGTGTTATGTTCAAGCTTGTATCTGCAGATTTGCATCTTTTATTTCGGTATTTCAAAATATCTAAATTTTACGACAGAGCTTTGACCGGAGGTTCAAGTTCAAATATCCAAAACAATGCTAGCACTCGGGAAACGTCGGAAATCGATTCTAAAGGTCAAATTACCCGTGTAGCGTGATTTGCAAGTGCATCGGGCTATGGGGTTCCTTAGCAAGGCAAAATATTCCTGTTTAAATGGAGATGTATTGAAACTTCGGCGGGACGATTATTTTGAGCCAGCTACGCCACTGTTGGTGGCAATGGCACTTGCGCTCGGGATAAAAAAGAGGCAGGTGGCAAATGGCTACTAGTAGTGGTTTTTAATACCGACCTTCTGGTTGGTACCCAAGCGTGGGAGAAATCACATCGATCGTCTTTCAGACAGAAGCCTCTGTTCTGCAAAAAAGGACAGGGGACATTATGTTTATGTGTATTGTGAGATGGTTTAAGATGCTGAAAGTCGCATCGGTCTCCCTTTCGACACCAACCTCGACGCAGAAGAAATGGACAAGGAGTGGAATTCTTTGGTGGGCGGTCGTAACGATTCTTATTTGTCTGCTGGGTTCGCGGTTGCAAGGTCAAATTTTCATAAGTAGGTACACTAACTTCTGGATTGGACTGCATATTAGGCACATTACTTTCCGGTATTCGGTCTTCGTTGGCCTTTTTCTTAGTGCTTATGGGGACGTACTGCGTTGTAGGTGTGACAGAAGATATTTCAATAGCACCAGGGAATTTTTCTATGGAGGCCGAGGCCATCTTTTCTTCTAATTTGGAGATACGTGATTTGAGATGCAAATTTTCTTCACGCAATTTGCATATATCTTGCTTATTTATGTTGATAGTTTCGTCTTGCTTGGTGAGTTTAGCCAATAAATTTGATATTTCATATTCAACCTTCTCTTTAAAATTGTCAAATAATGCATTTTTTGTAGTGGCGTTGTCACTCTCGCGTTGTTTAAAGGGGGTAGAATTTACAAATACTTGTTCCACAGTACCCTTCGTTACTTCACTGTGTCGGGAGTTCATAATATTACAAAATGAATCGTCAATAAAATTCTCAAGCTCCGCAAGCGACGAATTATCAATAGGTGATATTATATCTATTTTGGCGACAGGAATCTCGGCTCGATAATCATTATTCTCGGTTGTTAGGTTGCTTACTTCGTTCTATCACCGGTGCAGGTTATTACTGAGACTTCGGCAGACTGTACGCCTGTGTCACTCTGTTGGGGCAACATAAGTTCACTATTTAGGCTTACCAGTAATTTCTTTAAAGACTCCCCTTCGCTACCTTGGACAACTAATGTTCGTTGTTTGCCGCGATACCAAGTTATTGTCAGATCTGAGTTGCTTATAAACTTCTTAGAGTTCCCGCCAGGTGAAATCCATTTACCGCTCAAACCAACGGTATTTTGAATAAAACTCTCCAGTTCATCATAGTTGCCGTTCCACTTTAAACGTTTCCCATCATAGACAAGAGTGTTGTTTTTATACGTTCGAATATCGTCCAAATTCACATTTCCAACATTAAATTTAGTATTGGGAATATCTATGGAGCTAGCCTTAGCATGACCATCCGCCATCATGACTCGTGCGACATATATATATATATATATATATATATATATATATATATATATATATATATATATATATATATATATATATATAGCTTTACATAGCCATTCCGTAACAAGTACCAACGGCTGAAATACAAACTTTCCAATAAATATTGCTACAACAGTCAATAATCAGTGGCGGAAATTCACTTTTTCCGGTGTGGGGGGGGGGGCAAAGCCTCCTAAATTTCCGACAAAACTTTGAAATTTCCGACGTACCCCCTCCCATTTGCACTCGAAAAGACTGTTTTTAGCCCACTTTTAGATCAAAATTTCCGAAAATTCGTCAATTTTCCGGAAGGTGGGGGGGGGGGGGGCGGCCCACCAAGAGGCCCACCAACGTCAATAATAATAACGTGATAACAAAAACAAAAAAGATTGGATAAGAAAATAATATCGCATTTGATGCCTCAATCTTGCTAAATGTTTTCACATGTCATTTCATTCTAACTGACATGCACATAAACTCCGCTGAGCTGAATTTTGACAGCCATCTCCAGGCTTGTAACTAAAATGTCACTTATTCATCAACGTACGTTTATATCAAACGAGAGCGTATTAAGAAATCCACGTTGATCACAATCTAACGATTCATACAATTGTGAATTCATAAATACGAGCCAGTAAAAATAGGATTCTTTTGTCGTATGTGCGACTCTATCGGGTGGTAATGACGGTAATATGTCTCGCACGTGATTGTAAAGTCCTAGTATTTATATGTAGCTTCACATATGAGTAATTTTTCGCGGAAATAGGTGCATGTAAAGCGGGAAGGATGGACAGTAATATATAAGGAAGCGATAAAACTAGTTATTAGATAATAGTTATTTGATTATTGAATGTTGTGGCTAAATTTTTGCGAAAGTTTTTGTTTTATATTGTACTGGATTATTCCTTTGATTGCATGTATATGCCTCTTGTTTACTTCAATTTCGAGAATTTGAGCATACTAAATTATGTTTCGCAAATATTGTTTGCTTTATGTTCCGATACACAGGGAATGAAAGGTTCAGCCGTCACAGGCGTACGGGCGGGAAAAAAACAGGGAGCCAGAAAGAAATTTACCCGACTTTTACCCACTGAATAAAATTTTCCGTGTAACTAAATTTCCAAAATTGTCGTTGGGAAGTAGACAAAAATATTTTCCTATTTGTCGATTCCTCGTTACTTTTACATATTTCTGGTATTTTCAAATACCATATTGCATATACTGTCTTCTTTTTAAATTTATTTACCCCAATTTTTGGCCGAATTTATTTTGACTGGGGTGCGGGACTGCCTCCCCCCCCCCCTCGCCCGTACGGCTATAATCAGCCGTTGTTACGGATCGCTTATATATTGTGTTACTGTAAAAGTATTTTGACTTTGTTGTTTCTGATGATATTTGCCGACTCTCGACTTTTTACTCTCGATCGACTCTCGACTTTTTACTCTCGACTCTCGACTTTTTACTCTCGACTCTCGACTTTTTACTCTCGACTTTTACTCTCGACTTTTACTCTCGACTCTCGACTTTTACTCTCGACTCTCGACCTTTACTCTCGACTCTCGACCCTCGACTTTTAGATACACTCACTTTTACTCTTGACTCTCGACTTTTACTCTTTCGACAGCGTTTGAACATGGCGGACGGTCTCAAGTTTGATGCTGTTGTTTGGAAGGCGGAGGGTCTCAAGTTTGATGCTGCTGTCTGGACAAAGCTTATACAATACAACGAGAAGCGATTGAAATGGGTAGGGAATCTTGACTCGCTAAAGAAATTTATAAGCGACTCGATCGGCCTTGAAGGCAAATGGCAATCACCAGGTGGTTATGCCAAACGTTTCACATGTGGAAATAAGGATTTAGCTTTTACATGGTACGCTTATAAACAAAATTCGCTTATTTTTAATGGTAAAGATGGTAATATATTGAGAGATAAATTAATACAACTATGTTTAGGAAGAGACTCGTCCTGTTTGGAGTCGGAAACTCAGCAATCAAAATTATCAAATGCCGATCAACCTAATTCTTGTACAGAAAATTTAAACAACGGGTTAAGAATTAATGCAACGGCTAGTCAAGTCAGCGACGATAATTACATTACTGTTATGGACTCGTCGTTTGATGTTTCAACTACTCTACTAGATGCCAAAATAGTAAATCAAAAGCCCTCGAATGTTTCTCCGTCACTAGCCGAATCCTGTTTGGAGTCGGAATCTCAACAATCAAATGCCGATCAAACTAATTCTTGTACAGAAAATTTAAACAACAACGGGTTAATATTGAATGCAACCGCTAGTCAAGTCAGCGACGATAATCATATTATGGATTCGTCTTTAGATGTTTCAACTACTCTGCCAGATGACAAAATAGTAAATCAAGAAGCCTCAAATGTTTCATCGTCACAAGCCAAAATCGATTGCCAGTGCTCGTGTGGGGTTATAGCAGCGGAACTTGAGGCTATTAAATTTGATATTTCTCTTCTCCAGAATGAAATGCAAACTTCTTCAAACCCAGGCTCAGAATACTCTCATTTATACGAACTAAACCGACTTAAAAGCGAATTATTGCAAGAAAAAGAGAAATCTAGTGCCTTGGAGAAGGAAATGGCTCTTCTTGTTCGTGAAAGAAATAGGGAATTTGATGAATTAAGGGAGTTAATTAATACCCTTGAGAGAAATCTAAATAAATGCGAACAAGAAAAGGATTCAATTACCCTGGCTTTGAACTTAATTATGCAAGATAAAATAAGCGTTTCGAACAATGAAAATATTACCAAGTCAAATGAACAACAATGGGTTCCGTCAAAAACTTGCAATCACCTACCTAGTATACAGAATCAAATTCCTCAGCATGGTCTGCAGTCTGTTATTCATCGAAACAGATATTCACCGCTATTTATTGAAGACAACACGAATGCTGATATACCTGATATCCAAGATGAACGTCAAGAGTCAATTAATCTCTCTTATAAAGATAGAGTTCAGCATGGGAAATCTAGAACCACTACCAAACGTACTGAGAGTACTCGACAATCAGTGAGTTCTATTGACCAGTCGCAGAGTGTAACAAAAGAAGTCATTAATGAGACAGGGAACGCAAACCTACTTCGAAGTAATAAACACATTTACATAGTAGACCGCTCCAACGCAACAAAGCTAAACTCTCAGAACAGAAAGGAGAAAACCAAACGATCAGTAATAATTGCTGGCGACTCCATAATTCAGCATGTCCATGGTTGGGAACTTTCTAATGAGGATTACACACTGAGCTATAAATATATGGAGAGCGCAACTATAGATACAGAAATTGAAGCCGGAAGTCGCGCGCGGCCGCCATCTTACTGTGACCACCTTGAGGAGTGAGCTATTGTCATTAATACGGTATTTTCAACTGTTTTGTTCTGTTATCTCGCAATAGAGGAACAAATCAAGTCAAATATGGTATTTTAACCAAAAGCACATGTTCAAGAATGTTGGGGACCTCTTTTACATTCAAATGAACTCAATCGTAAAGAA